TGGGTGCTTTTTACTGAAGTACATTTCAAAGCCCATACTTCTTTACTTTTACTTGAGTAAAGAAGTTTAGTCAGTACTTCTACTTTTAGAGTATTTTTAAACACGAGTATCTGTACTTCTGCTTGAGTAAAGGATGTGTGTACTTTTGCCATCTCTGCTCATCTGTGTCTTTAACTTATTTATCACCCATCAGATCAACAGCTCGTCGTCGTTGCTCATGCTCGGTTCTCTCGTCGTGGGAATTCCTTCGAAAACGTTCGGCAGCATCAGCGGCTCCCAGCTGCTCACTGCGTCCAAAGATCCCTCGTTCCTGGAACACATCACCACCGCTTCATCCATCGTCCAGCAGACCTTTGTGACTCAGGTATGACAGCTTCATTGTTCTGTTACAGGACTGTATTTATATGTTTCATTAAATATTCAAAATTAAGCATTTTAGCTGTAGTTTAAAGGACAGTTTCAAACATCAATGGAAAGGTACTGTTGCTACAAATTAAGACGACACACCAAAGTTCAAGTCGTGACTTATTGGACTAATTTAAAGATATACAATTTCCCCGACCTGTAAAAGTCATTACAGTTGGAAAAGTCCTTGGAGAATGATCGTATAAACATTGAGAAATAGGTAACGTGTATACAGTGTAAGAGAAGGACCTTTATGAAGCTACACCAATTGTTTTTCAGTCTAGCATCCACACTTTTGTTTATATCGTTATTCAATGATATTAAGAAAATACTGGTAATAACAATCAGACAAGATTGTATGGGTTATGCATGAAGTTTGAAGTATTTGATTTAAATGTAATCATTACAAGCTATTAGAGATACAAAAAGGTTGGGGTTCTAAGTATAGCGTTTCATCTGTGTACATATAGGTTGTATGTTCAAGGAAATTTGAGTTATGGGTCCTTAAAAAGTCATTGAAATGTTTTTGGATTAGACAATGTGTGTGAAGCCTGTTTAGGAGTAACCTCCTCAAAATCCTGTTCTTGGAAACCTCCAGTGGTTTAATCTGTCTAATAGATGCAGTGATGAAGACATCTACTACTTAAATACAGAAATCCTTCTCCCATCCTCCCACAGATCATCTCAGTGAACACCAACAGTGAAATGATCATTCAGAATGTTCCGGATGAATTGGCCTCAGAGATCCCTCGAGCTCTGCTGCTCGGCCTCTCAGGCAACAGCAGCGTCCTCACCACGCTCAACAAGAAGAAGTGGAAACGGCAGCAGGTGAGGGGATTCAACACTAAACACACATTTGAACTAATATATAAATAATATATAATAATAATATAATAATAAATATACAGTGGGGCAAACAATTATTTAGTCTTAAACTTTATTTAGACTTTATTTAGACTTAAAAATATGAGAGAGGCCTGTAATTTTCATCCTAGGTATACCTCAACTATGAGAGACAAAATAAAAACAGAAAATCACTGTCTGATTTTTAAATAATTTATTTGCAAATTATGGTGGAAAATAAGTATTTGGTCAATAACAAAAGTTCATCTCAATACTTTGTTATATACCCTTTGTTGGCAATGACAGAGGTCAAACTCTTTCTGTAAGTCTTCACAAGGTTTTCACACACTGTTGCTGGTATTTTTAGGGCTGTAGCGATACACTAATCTCACGATACGATACGATACACGATATTCAGCTCACGGTACGATATATATCACGATATTCAGCCAACGATACGATTCGATATAATTCGATACACTTACATCATTTTCTGAAAGATTTTAAAGGGACAGTGTGATTTTGGTGACATCTTGTGAGTGTTCCATTGACTTGGATTGAATTGATTCAACTGAAAACTGAAAGCATCAATTATACAATATATGGCTCTGACTAGACAGAGAGTCTACAGCTTGCAAATGCTGGACAAAATGACTCAAAAGATGTGGTGAGAATTTGTTTCATTTATTGAAACAGTGCAAACTGTAGCTTACAAGCCTTTGAAACGTAAGCACATAAAGTGCAGTATCACAATGGACAATTAATAGGTGCAGCAGGTGGCCTGTTCTGAACAGATTCTTTTACAGCATTTTTAGCTTAACACAGAATATGAGGTAGCCAATAATTCAAGTCACTAAGAACAACATTTAATGTAAAATGTACCTGCCAATAATTCAAGTAACTAAGAACAACATTTAAATGTAAAATGTACCTGCCAATAATTCAAGTAACTAAGAACAACATTTAAATGTAAAATGTACCTGCCAATAATTCAAGTAACTAAGAACAACATTTAAATTTAAAATGTACCTGCCAATAATTCAAGTAACTAAGAACAACATTTAAATGTAAAATGTACCTGCCAATAATTCAAGTAACTAAGAACAACATTTAAATGTAAAATGTACCTGCCAATAATTCAAGTAACTAAGAACAACATTTAAATGTAAAATGTACCTGCCAATAATTCAAGTAACTAAGAACAACATTTAAATGTAAAATAATTCAAGTCCACTCCAAAGGAGTAACATTTAAGCCAAAAACACTAAAACACTAAACATAACTGCATCTACATTCTACTCAGATCTTCTCCTTGGACATGTACTGTGTAGCCTCCTTCATGGGCTTCAGCGCGCTGACTACTTCTTCAGCTGTTGTCACGTCTGACTCAGTCAGTGTGCACAGATCCTTCTCAGTCTTCCTCACCTCACTCGAGAGCAGGGCTGCACAGATGGCCGGTTGTTGCTCAAGGAATCTTTCCAGCATGTCGTGTGCACTGTTCCACCTGTAGTTAAATAAAAGTAAGAAACTTTATTTATAGATTTATTTAAATGTATTTATTAATGACAAAATAAATTAGTAATAAAAACAAAATAAACAATTGAAAAGTAACTGCGCACAAACCTTGTAACCACGTCCGTCATCAGCTTGTGCTCTGGTAGTTGTAGAAGCCTCTGTTTCTCTTTCAGCATGTGGTTGGCTGTGGTGCTTCGTCTGAAGAAGTTCACAATGCGTCTCTCTTCCCAACAGGCGTGAGACTGCTGTGATTTTGAGGGCACGTTGTGCAGCCAGATTTAGGGTGTGTGCGTAGCATTTGACGTGAAGTGTGAACGCTGCCTCCTCAGCTGCTAAAGTCATATTTGAAGCGTTGTCAGTGACAATTACTGGATCCTTTTCTGTGATTTCCCACTCAGCGAGGGCCTTTCTTAGATGTTCTGCCAGGTTGTGTCCGGTGTGGCTCTCGGGCATGTCCCTGGTTTGTAATACATATGTAACAAGCTCCCATTCCTCGTTAATAAAGTGGGCCGTGATGGTGACATATGCTTCAGTTGTTCGCGAGGTCCACCCGTCGCACGTCAGGGCAACTCTCTCTGCTTTGCCCAGGGAGGCTTTGAAGTGTGCCTTTGTCTGAGCACACAGCCTGGGAACGCAAACCTTGGTGAGGTGTTGGCGGGTTGGAACAGGATAGCGGGGCTCCATCGCGTTCACCATGCGCCGAAAGCCTATGTTTTCCACCACGGAATAAGGTCTCAAATCCTGACAAATAAAGTAGACAATGGACTCTGTAATCTTCTGCGACCTTGGAGAAGTAGATGGGAACTTGTGGGAACAACCGCCATCGCTGTCCAGCACGGTTTGTTTTGGGTCACGCCGCGGCCGCAGCTTCTTGAGTTCCCCAGTTAGCATTACCTTGTCCGGGTGGTGACGTTGTAGGTGGGTTCGTAGGTTAGTGGTATTTCCAGAGTATTTCACGTTTGTGTGACACAGCTTGCAAACCGCCATAGTTTTATCTAAATTGTCGCTTTCCTTCTTCTTTTTAAAGCCAAAGTGCTCCCACACATCTGCTTTTAAGCACGAAGGTGCTGGGTTAATGTTTGCCGCCATTCTCCTGAACCGCTTCGCACTCACTGCGAGAAGAAGACACCGGCGTCTGTGTATCTAGAAATGCTCTACAGCGACACTAGCGCTCGGCTCGCTCTCATGCAAAGCGAAACGGGGGGAATGGCAGCGAGCAGAGTGCCAGGCGGAACACGGGGGATTTGAATGGGACTAATGTATCGATACCCCGCCTCTGAAATATCGATACTTTCTCGGGAAACAAATATCATATATATCGCAGGATCGATTAAATGCACAGCCCTATGAGTGCCACCGTGAGAATTGTAGTACTCTCTACAGACATACGGATCAAAGTTAGAAAATGTACATGTTGGCACTCTACTTACACAGTGTATCGCCTGCACCGTCACATGCTTGGAAACGGACGGCATGGTCTGCTTTGGGAAAACTGATTGCAACACACTAAGGAATCGAACATTTTACAAATGGCAGCACCTGGAGTGAACAAAACTCAAGTAATGATATAATTGGGCAAACACATTTTTTAATCTTCAATGGCATTGCTACAATAGACAAAGGGATTTGCATATACTCAAATTGTTGGAATAGAGTCACAAAGTTTAATATGACTAGGCTTTCATCTGAGTGAAATGTGACATTACATAATGTCTCCATGGCCGGGTTTATATTGTTCTAAGGGCCAGTGGGATAATCAAATGTGGTCTAAATGGAACTTAAGTGAGGCATAGTTGAGAGAAATGAAATAATTCAATATAATGAACAGGTCATTAAAAAAAAAAAAAAAGGGTTAAATTCTGGCCATGATTGAATGTTTGTAGCCTATGTTAGAGTTGTATGTGATTGCATGAACAAAAAAGTAGAAGAATATTCAAGTATTGCATTTCATAGGCAGTTATTATGGCCGTGTACATTTTGCCGCACAAAGGTCGCAGAGGGTAGTCATCTAACAACTACGTACAATAAAAGCAGTGAAAATGCACTTTTGTTGGCTAATCTTTTGGACAGCATCAAGAGAGCAGTTCAGTAAAGTCATCAGAAAAAAGCTAAAACGAAAAGGCTAGTAAAGGAGCAACCAGGGCTGAAGCCAGCGCTGCCCTGGCCGGGGCCTACATTCGGTGGATGGCCAATTGAGCAGGGTTTATGTTAAACGTTCCACCAAGTTGCTTTCTACCTGATGAGGAAGCAGGCATAGCAACTAAACTCAGGCTTGGATTTAGCTCTATCTTAGGGCAATTATTGAAAACAGATGTCTGCTTGTTTGTGTTGACATGCTGCTGAGAGTCTAGAAGAGGGCCTCTGCATAGTGTCGATGTTATCTAAAATGTTTAGATGATGAATGTGAACCAGAGGCAACAGCATCTTCTGTAGGCCACCCGGCCTTTGCTTATAGGCAACATGTTGGTATTGGATGCAAGTATGTCTGTTGTTATAACTGAGTAAGAAATTCGGAGCAGAATTATTTCTAATGAGCTTTCAAATCAGCTGAGGTGAGGGCTATGGTCTGTAGTCGCTTATGTTCTTTTCGCGCAGTGGTTTTATGTGTGTAGTTTTCATGACAGAGGGAGTGGTGTGTGTAAAAATCAATGAAGCTGAAAAGATGGTTTGCACACTCGAGCCAGCTCAGTAGCAAAGTTCTCAGGCAGAAAACGCTGCACGCCGCCGCGGGCCCCCCCCATCTGGCAGCAGGCTTCAGTAGCCAAAATGTTCAGCAGGCTTTCTGGTGTTGGTGTACTGTAATGATGGGTAATCTGTGTCAGAGGAAAGCGCCAGGGATTATTGTTTCCGAGAATGTCAGTGCACTTTCAGCCGGATATGGGAACGACGCGACCTCATGCAAGAACACCCAGCTTGGGGACCATCGATGAGCTTTTGCTACTAGCCGCGGCCGAACTTTCTTGTGAAGTCGCTCCCGAAACTGAATGTGGGCGCTCGCCCGTGGTTCCCTTATTCATGTTTCTTGTTCTCGTTGATGAGCTTCGGGCGCCATGGTGAGGATTATGTATTGAAGCCGGGGTCGCTTCCTCCAGGTTTAAACCTGTCGTTTGTTTGTTCCGATGTTTAATTTAGTTCGATTGTTGAGTATTGAATCCAATTGGTCAACAAGATCGATGTTATATGCTTTATTGGACTTGCTTCCTGTTGTCGCTTTATTTACAAAGGTTTGTAAGATAATTTCCATCATATGTCCTTCCTTCATCCATCTTTAAATTGTATTAAATGTTATGTGTACATCAAGACCAAAGTGATGCGAGTAAAAATGTGGTTTTGTTGATATCCACTAGGCTGGTGCAAATAGGAGTTCTCGTGTGATTTTATTATTCCATTTTGGTTTCCGAAGTTCGTAGTTGGTCGCTGGCATCAGAATAAATAGTTAATTCCTCTCCGCACCCGTGGTGCGCGTGCTGCATTCTCTTGTTCTGGTGGTCACACCTGTTTACGCTTGAATGTGTAAGAGCCGAATTTCTGTCTAGCCGCTTTGGCGCTAGTGTGTCCTTGCCTTTAGAATATAACCTAAGTAACCGAGGCTCGGATGTCTTTTGAGTGCGCCGAGCGCGGTGTTCCAGCTACCGCAGTGGTGGCTTGACATAACGCAACCTTTTTTGTGCATTAGCCGTTGTGTTGGCTTTGGCTTAAAAAGAAGAGGGAATTTTAGATAGTAATTGCTGGGGAACACGGTTTGAAGCCATGTGTCANGAATGGTTTTGAATAATAGATGAGAGTAAAATCTACGTCACGTAACAGCCCCGCCCACTTTTGGGGAATCCAACGCTGTCATTTGAACGGCGATCAAGCCTGAAGCCACAGAGATCTTCTGTTACTGTCCTTTCTTCTTAGAGGAAGTACAGAAACACGTAACTCTGGATTTGTGTTAATGTTTGAGGTTCAATAAACGACACAGCAGCTTTTTGGCATGATAAAACTATTATTTTCTGCCTCGCTCATGAGAGTAACAGCTGGAGAAATTACAGCCTCGCCTACTGATTTTAATTTAACCATATATCGAGCCCGATTGTCGATTTGAAAGGTGTGCTCTAAAATGATATTTATAAATGACTATTATCATTATTATAAGCAAGACAATAAATGGCAAAGATATATAGAAAATAAACGTATTTAAAATACGTTAATAACTAACGTAACGTGGGAGAAAATATGTTTCTAGAAGATATGTAGAAAATAAACGTATTTAAGATAATAACTAACGTAACGCGGGAGAAAATACGTTTCTTGATAAACGTAATTCAGAATGCAGTTTAGTTCTGTGGGAACGTAATTTTTAGGAGACAGGGTTGTTCCTGTTCACCGCCTGAGTGTGTACTCATTTACTCAAAGGTGGGTCAGTAGTGTGAGATTTGTCCTCTTCTCCTCCCATTCATCTTCTCTACTCTCCCACTGGGTGTTATCAAAGTTCTGTGGGTCAGCAGCATCTGTGTCGTGTTCAGAACCACAGGGACCCCTGGCCTACATTACTGACCTGGAAACAACTACAAGGGCAAGAAGAACAGCTGGAAGGACGAGAGAGTGTGTGTGTGTGTGTGTGTGTGTGTGTGTGTGTGTGTGTGTGAGGAGAGAGCACATGTGAGCCTGTGAATGTGTGAGTGTGTGTAAAACTGTCAAAGGTGTGTTTGTGCCATCAGTGAGTGCAGACATCTATATATTCACACATGAAAAGGCGTCAGTGTGGAATGGATGCTTACATGATCGACTGCAGTGTAAAAATAGGTAGTCATGAGGTGTGTGTGCGCGCGTGTGTGTGTGTGTGTGTGTGTGTGTGTGTCATACCTCAGATTCCTGGCAGTCTCTTCTTTCACAAATTCAGACAAACATAATTCACCTGGTGACTGTTTTAGTGAGCTGTCCGACACAAATACAACATGTCGTATATAATACCCTGCTTTATATTTTGTTCCTGTAAATGTGTATTTCAACGTGTATATTTTTGACTTTTTTAATGCTATTATTTCTATTTGAGATGTTTACATTTTGGATTGTTTATTTCTAGTCTTTTAATTTCTCTAATGTACAATGCCATATCTTTATAGTGCCACTATAAAGATATGGCATTGTACATTAGAGAAATTAAAAGACTAGAAATAAACAATCCAAAATGTAAACATCTCAAATAGAAATAATAGCATTAAAAANAACTCTGTAGTGGCTCTAGGTGTAGATGGCTTTTCTTGTAATGGAGTACTTTAAGTAAGTTCTACTTTTACTTAAATAAAGGATCTGAGTATTCCTTCCAACACTTCCCGTACATATAAGATAAGAAGTACTTGATCGATCCCAATTTGGGAAATGTTGCCGTCGCAGCAGCATCAAGATATGGCATTGTACATTAGATAAATTAAAAGACTAGAAATAAACAATCCAAAATGTAAACATCTCAAAAAGAAATAAAATAGCATTAACAAAGTAAAAAGTATACATGTGGAA